ATGGTCTTTGATAATGCACAGAGCATGGGAAACAAACAAGATGAACTTGAACTCCTAGCACAACAAAGCAAATACAATATAATAGGCATCACTGAAACCTTGTTGGATGTGTCTCATGATTGGAATGTAGAAATAGAGGGGTATAACTTTATAAAGAGAAATAGGCCAAACAGGAAAGGAGGAGGAGTAGCATTATATATCAGAGATGTTTACACTTGTGAAGAGATCCAGGACTTAAATTCTGAAAGTCAGGTGGAGAGCATCTGGATAAAAATTAAAGGGGAAGGAAACAACAGGGATGTTATTGTGGGAGTCTACTACAGACCCCCAAGACAGACTGAGGAACTGGATGATGCCTTTCTAGAACAAATGACCACAACTCGGAGAGGAGAGATGTAGTCGTGATATTTGTTGGAAATTAATCAACTATCCTGATATTTGTTGGAAATTAAACTCAGCCAAAACTTTAAGTGCTAGCAAATTCCTCTTTTGCCTGAAAGACAATTTCATTGTCGAAAAGGTGGAAAAGCCAACAAGGGGATCAGCTATTTTAGATGTGATCCTAACCAACAGAGATGACCTGGTAACCAACATCAGCCCTGGTGGCACAGTGGTTAAATGCTTGTACTGCAGCCACTCACTCATAAACCACAAGCTTGCGAGTTCAATACCAGCCAGGGCTGAGGCTCGACTCAGGCCTGCATCCTTCTGAGATCGCTAAAATGAGTACCCAGCTGTTGGGGGGCAATCAGCTCACAGTTGTAAACCGCTTAGACATCCCATAGTGAGTTATGAAGCGGTATATAAATGAAGCTGCTTTGCTTTAAATGGGGTGCAAGTGGTGCGATCCTTAGGTGGGAGTGATCATGTTCTCCTGGAGTTTGTTATACAGTGGAAAGGAGAAGCCAGGCATAGTCAGACATGTATTCTATACTTTAGGAAAGCTGATTTCAGTAAATGTAAGGAAATAACTGGGGGTGATCCCATGGTCAAGAATACTAAAAGAGAAAGGAATTCAGAATGGGTGTGAGTTTCTCAAAAGGGAGATATTGAAGGCACAATTTCAAAGAGTTCCAATGAGGAGGAAAAATGGGAAGTGTCTCAAGGAACCAGGATGGATGACAAAAGAATTTTCAACTGAGCTACGTTTTAAACAGAACATTTATAAGATATGGAAAAAAGGGGAAATCACCAAAGAGGAATTCAAATAAATAGCTAGCATGTGTAGGGGTAAAGTCAGAAAAGCAAAAGCGCAGAATGAGCTCAGGCTTGCTAGAGAGATTAAGAACAATAAAAAGGCCTTTTTTTGGATATGTCTGTAGCAATTGCAACAGTATTTACATTTCTATACCACTTCATACTGAACTAAGCAGCTTATAATATGTAAGCCAATTGCTCCCAACAAGCTGGGTACTCATTTTACTGAGCTACGAAAGGATGGAAGGCTGAGTTGACCTTACAGCCCCTCAGGATTGAACTCACAATGTTGTGGCTGCAGTACAGGCATTACCAGGAAAGATTCTAGAGCAGATCATTCAACAGAGAGTCTGTGAACATTTAGAAGGGAATGTCATAATCACAAAAAGTCAACATGGGTTTCTGAGAAACAAGTCATACCAGACTAATCTGATCTTTTTTTTTTTGGATAAAATTACCAGTGTGGTAGATGAAGGGAATGCGGTAGATATAGCATATTTTGATTTCAAATAAGGCCTTTGACAAGGTCCCCCATGATATTCTGAAAACAAGTTGTAAAATGTGGTCTAGACAATGCAACTGTTGGGTGGATTTGTAATTGGTTGACTGGCTGAACCCAAAGGGTGCTCAGTAATGGCTATTCTTCATCCTGGAGATAAGTGACCAGTGGGGTGCCATAGGGTTCTCTCCTGGGCCCAGTGCTATTCAACATATTTATCAACAACTTGGATGAAAGAATAGGGGGCATGCTTATCAAATTTTCAGATGACACCAAATTAGGAGGAATAGCTAATACCCCAGAGAAGAGGATCAAAATTAAAAATGATCTTAATAGATTAGAAAGCTGAGTCAGAACTAACAAAATGAATGTCAACACAGAGAAATGTAAGGTACTGCACTTAAGCAGAAAAAATAAAATACATTGATGTAGGATGGGGGACATCTGGCTTAACAAGACTACGTATGAAAGGGATCTAGGAGTCCTAGTAAA